TTTCAAATAATTTGAAATTCTACTTTATTCATAATAGGAGTTAACTTGAAATAGTAGTTAACTTTATAGACAGCATAAACGTAAGTTGCCATAACTCCTTATTGTCTTATACCTACTCAGAAATGTTAAATTAGGATTCTCCTTTAAAAATGTACATGAGATTTTGCCTTAAAAAGAACAGTGCCCCATTGCTGTTTTGTGTTGTAAGACTGTGTGTGTGTTTTAAGGCAATAGGGCACTGTTCTATTCAAGGCAAAATCTCATTTTCATTTTGGGGGACGGTCACACACAGGTATGCCCAGGAGTTACTCCTGGTTCTTATCACTTAATCACTTAACTTCCCGTTAGTCGTCGATTTGCTCGAGCGGGCGCCAGTAACGTCTCCATTTGTCCCTGTCGCGTGCTAGTGTAGCCCAATGGCATCTGTTCGCTCCGGGAACATGAAGGGCCTCAAACCGATCGTTCATGATCTTGACGAAGAAGTCTGACCATCTGGTAGGTTGGCGGCCACGCGGTCTTTTGACATCCCGTGGAATCCAATCAGTAACAGCTCTAGTCCAACGGTCGTCTTTAAATCTCATTACGTGACCAGCCCATCTGATTTTCGATACCTTGGCAAATGAGACAGCGTCCCTGATCCTTGATCGTCGACGGATGTCAGAACTCCGGATTCGTTCTCTCATTTGAGTGAAACGTGATATTCCAAGCATAGCTCTTTCTATTCTTCTTTGGGAGACCTGAATAGCGTTCTCATCTTGTTTGCATAGGGCCCAGGTCTCTGAGGCATATGTTAATGCAGGAAGAACAGTGGAATCAAAGAGATGTGCCCGGAGCCAGAGGTTCTTCGTCCTCTTAGCTATTTCTTCGATGTTCTTGAAGGCGTTCCAAGCCGCTCTCTTCCTCCTGCGTAGCTCGGGTGCCAGGTCATTTGTCATGTTGACCTCTCGACCTAGGTACACATAGCTGTTGCATTCGGAGATGGTCGTTCCATTGAGAGCGAATGGGGCGTCAGGAACAAGGCTGTTTCTCATAAACATTGTCTTCGTAAGATTCAGCTGTAGTCCTACCTTTCCACTCACGGTCAAAGTCGGCCAGCATTTGTGCCGCTTGGCTGATCGTCTGTACTTTCAATGCACGTACGCTAGCATCAGATGCATCCATCGAGGACCTGATGGTACAAGTGCGAATGATCAAGTACGACATCATCGGTCTGACCGAGACAAGAAGGCACGAATCTCACCATGCCGTTTTCTACACTGGAGAAGAATTGTTCCTCGGAACATGCGATAAAAGAGGTGTTGGAGGCGTCGGTGTCCTTGCCAACACAAACTTGGCCAAGAGCATTGATTCATTCGAATGCCTAATAACCCGAATCGGACGTTTACATTTGAATAGATGTGGCTCACTGCCTGCAGTTTCTATCTTCGTTGTCTACGCACCAACATCTCATTATGATGAAAGAGAAATCGAGAAGTTCTACATGGAGCTAGAGAAGTTCTATAAAGAAGACCACACCTTCTACAAGATCATTGTGGGTGATTTTAATGCCAAGATAGGACCGAGAAGATCAGCTGAAGAACTTCACATCGGGACCCATGGCCTAGAATGGAACGAACAGGGTGAGAGACTCCTGGTTCTACACTCAGGAATTACTCCTAGCAGTGCTCCGGGGACTATATGGGATGCTGAGGATCTAACCCAGGTAGAACTTGTGCAAGGCAAATTCCTTACCCACTGCATTATTTCTCTGGCCCCCTCATTTGCATTTTTAAAGGAGTATCCTAGGTTTAATATATATGTTTGCTGGAAAGGACTTGTATGTGAAAAACAGCTAGAAATGGAATAGCCACAGAATTGGGAAAAGTAGGATAGGAGGCCCAGCAGACAAGGATGGAGAAGATTGGCAAGAAATCACAAGATGAGGCCCCTTGTGACTTGGTTACCAAGGACAGGGTTTATTATTATTTGGAAATACAGAGTTTGTCAAAAATTATAAGATCTAAAAGTAGAGCTTACTAGGAATGAAGTTGACTTTTGTTACAGTCTACTTATTGGCAATCCTATTTCCCCTTTTGTTTTTCTTCCCAACAGGAAAACAAAGTCATGCATTAAACATTTCTTTTATACAAAAGTAGCAAGCATAAGTATTTTACTACTTTGTATTTGGTCCTTTAGGATTTATATGATTTGTGGGCTGTGTTTTTTGAATCTTGTTTGAGTAGGAGTAAATAAAAATTGACCTCTGAAGAAATCCTTTGTTCTATACGGAGGGGAAAATGACTGATTTTCAAAAATCTATTAGTAAGGAAGACTGTATTTTACAGTCATGAGCATTTCTGGGAACTGGCCTTGAATATTCCAGACAGCGTGACCTGAATTTGAAAGGGAAAAAAAAGTTAAGAGACCACTAGTCCTGAGCCAAAATCATACAGGCCAAGTAAAAGTGAATAATGGCTCAAACTTTGCGGGTAGCCACAGGTTTTCAGCTGGAAGTGACACACTGACAGTGCACCCAGACATTAGCACCGCTCCATGCCTTGGGAGCACAGCTCTGTTTTGTGCCTCTAGCACTGCTCTTCCCAGACCTGGGCACTCTGGTGAGAACTGGACCTTGTTTAGGCCAGCATGAACTTGCTGTGCATGTTCATCACTTTGTGGCAGCTGATGGCCACAATAGGGCAGTTGTTGGGTGGTGAGGGGTTCGGGAAGCCAAACACATCCACAGGAATCTTACACCTCACTTAAAGGAAACCAGGACTTTATCTATACTCTTGGGCTAATCAAGAGCCAGTGTCCTTAGTTCCAATGTGGGGATTGTTTCTCTGTTCATGACTTTGTAAAAGAAAACAACAGGTTAGTCTTCCGTAATGTTTCAAGTTCCTTTTTGAAGTATAGTACATTTAATTGACACTTGTAAATGAAGTGAGAGGGAATGTTCATGGTGTATAGTTTTACAGAAGTTTTGGCAATATGTTTAGTTGTATATCTTTCCATCTCAAAATCAAGATAAAGAATTGTTTTATCACCCATCTACCCCCCTCCCCCAAATTTGCTCTCTGCTGCCTCTGTACAGTTAGCCACACCCCTAACCACCAAATCTTGGCAACTAACTACTGATCTGGTTTCTCTGATCCTATAATTTTGCTTTTCCCAGAATATCCTATAAATGAAATCATACCGTATATAGTACTGAGAGTCTGATGCAACATTCTTAATTTAGAATTTTAAAAAAATAGTTACTACCTAATAATCATCGTGATCATTTTAATTAGGAATAGGAACCTCTTGCGTTGCTTTTAATATGTTGGGAATCAGTGTAACCCAGTGTTTGGGAAATATGAATGCTGGATATTAACAAAAATTAATCCAGAAATTTCATTTTTTCAAAATGTCTGCACTGTGTTTTGTCAGTATCACAACTGAGTCTTAATTTCTACTGCTCTAAAAGAAAAAAAAGTTGTTTTTTTTTTTCATTGAAAACTAGCCTTTCCTCTACATTTAGCTTTACAAGTTTGTATTGAAAGCAAGGTGTTATGAGAATCATCTGTAATTGATCAGTTTAAAATACTGAGTATCTTTAAAATGATGACTTCAATGATTCCCTTTTCCTAACAGTACAACAATAACTGCTGAAAAATTGTGCAAAAACATGTTAGAGGATTATTGCTTTGTTTACAGAAACAAGAGTATAAGGCAGAGAAGTGCTCCTTGGGGGCAAAAAGCAATTGGCAAGAGCTAAGGAACATTTTCATAATGAGTTAGAAATAAAAAATCATCAAGAATATCCAGGAAATGATAGTGGATGCCAGGCAGGCTTTAAGAGACAGGAAACATTTTGCATGTTGGTAAACCACTTTAGCACGTCAGTGAAGACATATAAACAGTTTTAGGATTGGAAATTATTGCCATGGGGAAAAGCACAATTAGAAGAACAATTTCAATTAAAAATATAAAGATTGTTTCCTTAAATTAATCGACTTGCTCCTCTGTGCCTTTGTATAGTCTAAAAGCTAACATAGATAATGGAGACAATTGTGTCTGAAAAAGTAGCTTTCAAATTCTTAAAAAGGATATATTTAAAATTGGAGCTAGGCAGACTGGGGTGATAGTGTGCCCAGTAGGTCATTTGCCTTGCATATGGCTGACTTGGGTTCAATCCTTGCCATCCCATAGGGTACCCCTAGCACTTCCCAGAGTAATTTCTGAGTACAGAGTCAGAAGTAACCCCTGATAATTGCTGGATATGACCCTAAAAAGATAAACAGAAAATACTGGGGCCAGAGTGATAACATAGCAGGTAGAGAGCTTGCCTTGAACGCAGCTGACCTGGTTGGATCCCTGGCATCCCATATGGCACTCTGAACACTGCCAAGAATGATGTCTGAGTGCAGAGTCAGGAGTAACCCCTGAGCACCACCAGGTGTGCCCTCCCCCCCAAAAAATAGCCCCCAAATAAATAAAATATTAGGGGAAAAATTAATGGTTACATGAAAAAGTAATTCATCATGATATATGAAGTAGAGAAAATATTGGCAATGCATTTAATACAAATAAGTGATTCAGAACCCAAATGGCATACCATATACTACTTCTTCAAATTGAGGCTCTGTTATTTTCTACGTGTATGACATTGGGTAAATTACTTAACCTTTGGCCTCTATTTTCTCATCTGAAAAAAAAAATGGTTTCTAATAGGGTTGTTGTGTGAATTGAATTAAAGAGCTTAGAACATGCCTACAAAATAAGTGTTGTATAATAGTATTAATTTTTAATGGCTAATTACTATGCATTAGTATTCATATCTAATTATGCACAACAATAGCATTGACAATTAGCACATTACATATTCTAATGAAAACCTCTTCAAATTTGTGGCTATCACAAGCCAAATGAAAATACGGTACAAAAAGCCAATAAGATTAGACAAAACAGTCTTTCTGAAGTTGTTTTTAAAAAGAAATTAGAACTAACACTTCCCCCCACCTAATTTTCACTTTCAGACGGGCGAAACCAGAACAATATCTCACTTTCATTACACTACCTGGCCAGATTTTGGAGTCCCCGAATCACCAGCTTCATTTCTCAATTTCCTGTTTAAAGTGAGAGAATCTGGTTCCTTGAATCCTGAGCATGGGCCTGCCGTGATCCACTGTAGTGCAGGCATTGGGCGGTCTGGCACTTTTTCCCTGGTAGATACCTGTCTCGTTCTGGTAAGTGTTCCTCATCCCATCTCAGTTCTGTTTGCGTCCTTTCTGTGAATTCGAATACAAGCATCTCAAAACTATGTTTGTCCTAACTCAAATTTTTGCCTTCTTTTCGAAAAACGTAAAAATCTCATATACCCTTTTTTTTCTTTCATCTATTGTTTGTGACTATTGTGGATGTATTCACAATCATTCTGTAGATGATAGGATTTTACTCTGGATCCTTTTTCTTCTATGGCATCTTGATTTATTTACAAAACTGCTAGTAATACTTTCAAGCATATGGTGTTCTAAATCCAATCCTACCACCAGTCGTCAACCTTCCACCAATGTCCTCAGGTTCCCCTTCCTGCACTTCTGGCCACCTCCTTGACAGACACCTATTTTTAAAAATTTTATTTATTCTTTTAATTGAATCATAATGAGTTACCCAGTTACAAAGTTGTCCATGATTGGATTTCAGTCCCATTATGTTCCAACACCCATTCCTTCACCAGTGCGCATTTCCCACTACCAGTGTCCTCAGTTTCCCTCCCAATACCTCCCCTCCTCTCCGCCTTCCCACCACCTTTTGGGCATTATGGTTTGCAATACAGGTACTGAAAGATTATCAGTATCCCTTTACCTACTTTCAACACTCAGTTCTTGTCCAAAGTGATAATTTATTATTGTCATACTAGTCCCTACTCTATCCTTACTGTCCTCCAACCCCCACACACTTGTGGCAGCTTCCGACCATTGACCAGTACTCCTGGCCCCTTTTTCCTGGTCTTGGGTTTTAGTCTCATGCTTTTTTTTTTTTTAATCTCACAAATGATTGCAGTCATTCTATAGTCTGTCCCTTTCCTTTTGACTTTTTTTTCACTCAGCACGATACTTTCTATAACAGACACATTTTAAAGTTCATTTACTCTTATTTGTCAGATGTAAATTGATCTCGGATTCCTTCCTTTACAGATAAGCCCATCATTTCTTGTTCCTTCGTTTTCTTTGAATCTAATTTAATATTGTTTTCTTCACAGGGTTGTTATGGGGATTATTAGGTATGAGTATTTTAGACACTTGGAATGAGTCCCTCCTATTTTCTTAGCACTGGGGGAGTGTTAGTGTTGTTACTATTCCTCTTAAATCCAAAGGCTGTACAGTTTCTCCACAAGCCGTTCCATCCTCAGTATGAATGCAGTACTATGCCTTTTTTCTTATTAGAATGTCCATCTTTCCTTAGTCACTCTAAGGAATTTCTGTGGCATAGGCACAGTTTTATTTTTTTACCACTTTGCCTTTGTATAGTATACTTCAATCAAAAACTGGAGTATTATATTAAAGTAGACTCTTGCCATGTCTGTTTTATTGATGGTGGATGTTAAAACTGAATTGTTTTTACCAATTCTGCCAAACTAGCACCATTTTTATTTCTCTGTTGGAATGAAAGGCTTTGTAGTTATAATCACGGATCCATATTCTAGGCCTGTGCAGTGGGTCCACCATGTTACGACTTTCTCTGTGTTTCTTCTCTATTTTGAAATGACTGCTGTCCTCAAACATGAAGATGGAAAGAAGGCACCAGGCGGAGAGATTTACTTCCGCCAAGACCTAAGAAAAAGAAGACCACTTATCTTATTGGATTTATTCTTTTATTAAACTGTAACTGGTCATAAATCCAGGACTTTGTTCAAATGAGCAGATAAAATAATTATATTGGTTTGAAATTAATTGTGAGTCTGCTAAGTGTGCCCAGAAGCCCTCTGTTTGCTACCTAAGCAATGGAGATATAGGGAAGATGGATGGATTTGAATGGAAAGAATTATAGCTACAGTGGGAACTTTCCTTGTTCTTGAGGATAAACACAGCACATGATAGCAAACTCTCACCAGTCATCTTGTATTGCTGTTCTATTCCTGGATTCTAACAACAAAAGGCTTGAGTAATGCTTACCTTTCTTGCAGATGGAGAAAAGAAATGATATTAACATTAAACAACTGTTACTGAATATGAGAAAATACCGAATGGGACTTATTCAGACTCCAGATCAACTCAGATTTTCTTATATGACAATAATAGAGGGAGCAAAAATTTTAAAAGGAGATTCAAATATACAGGTAAACTTTTTTTAGGAAATTTATACCTGTGTATGAAATACATTTAGCCCCAAATAATTGCTCTTTATTTAAGAACTTAACCTTCTCACTTCCATTATTTTCTTTTAAAAAAGCACTTAATGTGATAAATCCAAAAGGATATATTAATGTTATAAAATTTAAGTTCACTTCCTCTTATGTACCTCAGATTTGTAATAAATCCTGTTACTTAAAAGGCCTAAAGGGATCAAGATTTCACTAAAAGTGAAATTTGTATGTAAGAGAGTTTTAAGTATTTTAAAATTCCGGAAAGGGGCCAGAGTGATAGTACAGTGGGTAGGGAGTTTGCCTTTCAGGCAGCAGACCCCAGTTCAATCCTCGGCTCCCCATATGGTCCTCTGAGCACCACAGGAATAAGTCCTGTGTGCAGAGTCAGGAGTAACCCCTGAGCATTGCCAGGTGTGAAATTTTAAAAATAAATAGAAAATACCAGAAAATTGGTCTCTAGAATATTACATGCAAGAATTATGTGCAAGTATATTACATGCAAGGTTAGGGCACTTGCCTTGCATGCTATTGACCTGAGTCTATTCACTGGCACCTCATGTGGTGCCCTCAGCATCTCCAGAAGTAATTCCTGAGTGCATAACCAGGAGTATCCCCTATGCATTGCTGGGTGTGACCCCAAAACAAACAAAACGCCATGAAATGGAATTGTGGGATATTTAACTTGTATAATAACTGTTTTACTTTATAGTTATAAAAGTGAACAACTTGAGCAATTCTAACAGGCATAATGAAATTTCCAATAGAAAGTTGTATTTTCTCTAGTGGCTTTAGTCTCATGAAGTTACTTTTATTCCACATTTGCAAAACCTAGGTTGAGAGACTGTCAGAAATCTTATTATGTAGTATTTTTATTGCATTTTATATAAAATAGAAATCAAAGTCACATTTTTCATTTCTAATCACCGTACTAAATGTAAGTTAACATTGTAAACAGATAGATTAAAAAAACTAGATGGACTCTTGTTGTTGGTGCCCAGCCAACAACATAGGATGAGCCTGTGGAGAATGACCCGCACACGGGCAGGAACACAGGCCCCATGAAAATGGGCGAGATTACCCGTGTTTGGAAAGAGTTAAGATCTCTTCCTTTGGCTGCTTTTTAGCTCCTAGTATCACGTAGAAGCAATCTTCCCTTTTTCTAACCCAGCTCAGCTTTGGAGTGCAGACTTTTCTCTCACATCCCCCTACCGCCCCAGGTGCCGGCTGTAAGTACCCACGGCGCCAGATGCCTTGGTTTTGCATTCCCCTCCGGAGTTTGTTGACTATTTGGATTACAGATTCAACAGGACAAAATACTTCTTGATATTTTATTGCCCCTCCTGTAAACGCCTTTCCCCATTAATGATTTCTCTGTACAGAGTGTATTAGATGTGTATCGCAGGATACTAAATAAAGGTGTGTGGTGGGTGGGTACTTCTCTATGCTCCTCTTCCAGAACAAGGAAGAAGTCTCTCCAGCAAGTCTCATTTCTCTCCTGTCTCTTATCTCAGCGCCCCCAACCGAAAGAATATTCACACAACAACTCTGTTTATATTAATTCATTTGCTAGCTCCTTGATTTCCATTATTTCTAGCCAAACAGATTTCTGGAAATGTTTCCCTTTGTAATATAGTAGACTATCCGCCACAACTGAATAATTATAAGAGCTCTATATATGTAAATTTCAGAGGCGTATGTAAGTAGCCATAAGATTATTTATTAGTAGCTAACTTTTTGTCTTGATTACGTTTGATTTTAAATTGTTCAAGTAAAGGATTTTAAATAAATCTTTAAATAGCATTAAAGAAAAATATTATAGGTGGCTTTTTATGGGGAAATGTATGGTTTGAGCCACACCTGGCTATGCTTAGGGCTTACTCCTGACTCTGTACTCAGGAATTACTCTTGACAGTGCTCAGGAGACCATATGGAATGTCAGGGATCAAACTTGGGTCAGCTATGTGCAAAGCAAGCACCCTACCCGCTCTCCAGCCCCTGATTTTCTAGTTATTCTTATAGGCCACCAGAGAGAGTATGTTCTCCTTAGCAAGTATTCATCCCTCTGATGGTTTTTCAAAGTTTTGTTCTTTAGTTTCACAATCTATATGTACTTATTTTAGGGTCTATTTCACAATAGAATGACGTTTATGAGCATACATTTTATGGTAGTATATTTTATGACGAGAGAATTTTTTTTCCCAGTTTAGTGTGCTGTAGCCATTAGACTTTGAAATTGCCATCTTATTTAAACCCAGTGCTTTTCTGCCCTTTATGAAAATGGTGTTGGAAATGTATCTACATTTTTTCAGTACTCAGGGTCATTTTTACTATTTGGAGAGTCAGTTTCAACAGAATTTACCTTAGAAAGACTAGTAATTACTTCACTTAGTTCTGGTAGTGTTATTATAGAAAAAAATAAAAGAATTCAACAAAAGTAGAAGTATTTTCATAACTTACAAAGTTAAAGTCCTCATTAACATTACCCTCCCACCTTAAATTTGAACAAAAACGGTCGTGTAAGTATATTTTCAGTAATATGTACTTTACAGAAAGAGACTTGTTTGTCTTGCATATATATTTTTTCTTCATAAAATTCCTGTCCAGTATGACAGCCCGTACCCACATGGTCTATGAAGCACTTGAAATGTGGATAGTTTGAATCAAGATTTACCTAAAATTTCAAATAAACACCAGACTTTGAAAATTAAATACAGGGTAGAAAGTGTAAAAATAACAATGATTTGTATATATGAGTTAAAACATTGTTAAAATTCGTCTTTTTTCAGTTTGCATATCCAGGGCTGAAACCAGGGCCTCACATGTTCAGAGCAGGTATTCTCCCGTGAGCCATGTCCCACACCCATATCTACTTTTGTTGTTTGGGGCCATAGTTGGCATTGCCCAAGCTTTCCTCCTGCTTCTACACTTAGGAAGCAAATCCTAGTACCATGTGGGATGCCAGGGATCAAACCCTGCCTTACTATCACTCCAGACCTCCAAATCCACCTTTTAAAACAGTTTTACTACTTGACACTTTAAAATTATGTCTGTTCCTCACATATTTCACTGAACAGTGCAGGACTGGATCTTGGATTAGAACAGAAGTCTAAAAGAAGTAAAGGTTTCTGAGATCAAAAACATAAAACCTTCGGGCTGGAGCAATAGCACAGCGGGTAGGGCGTTTGCCTTGCACACAGCCAACCCGGGTTCAATTCCCAGCATCCCACATGGTCCCCTGAGCACCACTAGGAGTGATTCCTGAGTGCAGAGCCAGGAGTAACCCCTGTGCATCACCAGGTGTGACCCAAAAAGCAAAAATAAATAAGTAAAACCTTACAGTTACGATCTAAGATTTTTATGTTAGTATAGAAACCCCAAGTTGAGTGAAATGGCTATAAAATGCCTAAAGTCTATAAAAATGTATCTTTCTACTATATAAAAATGTGATGGCCAGTTTATAAAAAGGTTTCTTTTTTTTTAAATTTATTGAATCACTAGGAGATAGTGATTTATTAGAAAAAGATGTTTTTTTTTCTATTTCCATCCATGTATCAGCGAATTTCATGACTTCCATTTTTTTTCCTAACCATAATACTGGTAGATCTACCATAGCTTCTTTATCCAGTCATTTATTCTTGAACACTTGGGTTGTTTCCAGATTTTGTCTATTGTGAATAATGCAGCAATGAACATAGGCATGTAGATAAGGCTTCTCTTTTCCTCCATGCATGTAAATCATCTTTGCCTTAGACTTTCGGGAGGAAACCAATGCTTGCAGGAAGAAGGAAAGAAGTTTCTAGTGTGTTCACAGAACACTTTCTTCTTAGATCTGTCACTGGTTGTTTGATACCACTAATAAAGTGTTAGGTCAGTGGTACACTTTTTACAAATTGGAGTGTATTCCAAGCTAGTTTCATCATTTTTTCTGAGGAACTTTGGTGAGAAATAGGTGAGATTATGTTAGTGGTACTATAAGGAACATTTCTTATTGCAGCACAGACACTGTTGTGCAGGTGTGGTTTAGCTGAACATAGAATTAGGAAAGTGAAAACTTAGCTGGATCGCCATAGCTCTAATTTAAACCTCAAAAGATTGTAGCTCAGTGTAGCATTAGTATCTTGACCTCCCAGTGAGCAGCAGAAAGACTGAGGCAGGGGTTTTTGGAGTGCAAATCAGCTTGCGTATCATAAGGTAGACATAGTTGAGAGAACTTGCTGCCCAGAGATATGACTAAATCACACAGGTTTAGGGTGTTTGGGTTTGGTTTGGAAGCCAAGCAAAGCTATTCTCAGGGCATACGCTTGACTCTTCCCTGAGTCAAGTGATGACTCCAGGATCACTCCTAGCAAGCTTGGGGGATGATGTGCAGTGCCAGAGATTGAACCCAGGTTGGCCATATGCAGGGCAAGCACCTTGCCTGCTCTACTATCACTCTATCCCTGGGTTGTTACTGTTTGCTTTTTTGTTTTTAGGACCATACCCAATAGTGGTCAGGACTTATTCCTGACTCTGTGCTCAGGGATCACTTCTGGCAGGGCTTGGCAGACCCTATGAATGCCCAGGATCAAACCCAGATCAGCCATATGCAAGGCTGTACCAGCCCTATTCACTGTACTATTGTTCTGGCGCCTTTTTTGTGTTTTTAGCTTTACAACTAGCTTTACAACTCTTTCCACCACACCAGGTTTTACTGAAGGTTTTTTTTTTTTGTGGACAGATTCTGAATTTGTTGGATATTCCAGGAGGTTGGATATTCCGGGAGGTAGTTTAGTTAGTTAAGACTTGATTTTCATTATCATTTCATTACTGTTGAGTTTTGTCCAAGCATGCAGATAGCTGCTGTAATTAGATCTCAGTGAAGAACGGAAATTTCAGAAACTAAAGTATGGCAAGCAAAATTTATCTTGAGGTTTTCTGAAGTTGAACAGAATTTCCATCTTGAAACTTTTTTCCTTTTTAACTTGAAATCAGAATTTTAGTGTTTGTGATTTTTGTTTTCCTTACCTAGGAACAGTGGAAAGAACTCTCTAAAGAAGACTTATTTCCTGCTTTAGATCATTCATCAACCAAAATTATGACAGAAAAATACAATGGGAACAGAATAGACCTAGAAGAAGAAAAATTGACAGATGACAGATATACAGAACTATCCTCTAAAATGCAAGATTCTGTGGAGGAGAGCAGCGACAGGTAAGGCTACTACAACAGCATAGTTAAAAAATAATAAGGCTTTTGTTTTAAATATAGTCTGTGGCTATGAAGTCACATAGATCCTCTGTTAAATGAATTATATGTAGGTATTATCTCGGGCTGTTTAGTAGCATCTGATAAGATCTTTGACTTTAGAGCTTTTAATCCTATTAAGAAGTAAATATTTCAGAGCGAAATCAGATAGAAGATGGTTTAAACCAATACTAATTCAATACAAAAATTAATATAACCAGCATGTAAAATGTTTAATTGTGTGCAGTAAACAGATGATAGGAATATTGTTAATAGTATAGTTATATAGTGTTTATACATAGTTTGTGATAGATAATAATTCTTTTAATAGAATTATGAACTAAATGATTATTTTAACTTAATTCAATTATTGGAGAAAGAAATAACATCTTTTTCTAAAAAGTTACCCAAAATGCCCTTTTCTTTTATGCTTTGTGAGTTTTACATCCATACGAAGATGTAAATTCTTTCAAGACTGAAAGCACAGAGGAAAGTCACTGTCATCGGTAAAGTGATGGCAGGGATCGTCTGACGGAGGCAGGGGCAGACACTCCACTGTTGTTTTCTTCTTTCCAGGGTAGATGGGAGCAGAGCTTGTTTAAAAGCAGAATAAAGGTCCCTATAGGAAACCAAGGATTGATTAGCTGGATATAGTCATAGAAAAATAAAAGCATAAAAAACAAAATAAAGATCACCCTGAAAACTTAATTGTTCGGTTCCCCTGCCCCTAGGTTTTTATCTTTCTGGGTTTTGTTTCGTTTCTAGCCACACCCAAGAGACCAGAGTATTTCCTGGGGACCAGAGGTGTGCACAGCAAGCACCTTAAACCCTCCACTGTGTCTGCCCCAGTCACAATCAATTTTAATATTGATCTGTAGTTTTTTACTAGAGATGCTTGTTAAATAAATCTAAATCTACCCCTCCCCAACAAAAAAGTTCAGTTCAAAGGGAATAAAATGATACTTCCTCCCTTCACCCCTTTTCTGGGGCAAGGTAGGGCTCCCAAGCAGCACTCAGGGACTTACAGTAGTCACCCCCAAACAGACCAGAGAGTTCAATGGAAGGACTAAGGATGCAGTGCTCCTTGGACGTTGTACCTGGGGGCAGTTCCAGGGATCAAACCAGGGTCAGTGCACATGGTACCCCTCATGCTGTGCCATCTCCCTGGCCTTTTTATTTTCTTTCATTTTCAATGTAATTTGATTTTTTTCAATTTTTCGGTCATGCCCAGCAGCATTCAGAGCTTATTCCTGGCCCTGTACTCATGGATCACTCCATATTGGTGCCAGAGACCAAACACTGGCTACTATATGCAAAGTAAATGCCTACCTGCTGTACTGTCTGTTTGTCCCCTCATTTTCTTTATTAAATATCCTTCAAATCAGTGTCTTTCCCATTCAGTCACATTCCCAAAGTCATGAGTTTATGAAAAACATTTTGGAGTCTAAATTAGAGAAAAAAGTAGATCAGAATATCACCAGTCTTTTTGACATATTTTATATATGTACATGTTATACATAAATCCTATATATATATATATATATATATATATATATAGTGTGTGTGTGTGTGTGTGTGTGTGTGTGTGTGTGTGTTGCTGTGCTTTCGTGATAGGGTGTTTTTTCTGTGTGGGGTTGTTTTTTTGCCACTGTTTTCAGTTATGCAACCCATTGATCTAGATCACTGAGAATGGGTAATAGTTTGGATAAGTGAAAAGTAGCCATCTTATTTATACCCTTCTCCGTATTTGCCTAGTAGACTGCTCACTGAGACCAAGACAATACCGCTATGTATGGCTTTATGAGAATTTCCACATGGGCTTCAATGACTCTTCAATTCAACAAACCTTAGGAAGCCTTCCTTTTTTGGCCAGAATTGTAAAAATGCATGCGCATACCTGAGTAGGATATATTACAGGTTATTTATACGGACATTTCTTTAGAACCTCGGTGAGAAAAAGATTTGTGTCACAAACTAAAAATTACTCCCAAGAGTGGCCGAGATTAGTACCAGGAATATTGCTCCATGGCGTGGAGGCCAGCCACACATGCTAGGGGAAAAGGGAGCTCAGATAGAGAAGGAAGCACCAAATAAAGGGTGTTGGGAGGATCCTCCCAGGGTGGGAGAAGCATGCTGAAAGTGGACTATAGACCAAACATGATTGCCAGTCAACGCCTCTTTTGCAAACCACAACACTCAAAAGGAGAGAGAGAACAAAAGGGAATGCCCTGCCACAGAGGCAGGATGGGATGGGGGCGGGGGTGGGGGGGGGGGATACTGGGACCTGTGGTGGTGGAAAATGGGCACTGATGGAGGGATGGGTACTTGATCATTGTATAACTGAAACCCAAGCACAAAAATTTGTAAGTCTACAACTGTACTTCATGGTGTTTCACTAATAAAAATTAAAAAATAAAATTTTAAAAATAAAAAAAAAAATTACTCTCGGGCTAGAAAGATAGTACAGTGGGTAGGGCATTTGCTTTGTACACAGCCTACCTGGGTTCAATCTCCAGCATCCCATATGGTCCCCTGAGTACTACCAGGAGTAATTCCTGAGTGCAGAGCCAGGGGTAACCCCTGAGCATTGCTGGATGTAACCCAAAAATAAAAGGAAAAAAAAATTATTCTCTATTGGAACTCTCAAAAACTAATTAAAGGTGTCCCATGGTGTTAGTGTTTATTCCATTCTTGAAAATGTGTACGGGACATTGTAAACAGCCTCTGTGTGTGTGTGTGGGGGGGGGGGGGAAACGGCAGGGGGGGGGGAGGATGGTGTCACCAATCCGATTATTTTACATGGAACAAATTCTGTCTTCTTAGTTCAGCCAGTGCTTCCAAATGTCTTTAAAATATCTTTGTTTTGGGGCCACACCCACTGATGCTTGGGGGTAACTCTGGCCCTGCACTCAGGAATTACTCCTGGTGGTTCACGAGAGACCATTTGGAATGCCAGGGATAGAACCCAGGTCAGCCACATGCAAGGCAGATGTTCTATCCTCTGTATGATCTCTCCAGTCCCCTTAAAAACATCTTAAATTCTATATAACAAATTGTTTAAGCACTAATTATATAGTTGGATAGCTATGTAATTATGTTCCAGTGAATTTCATTGGGTTTATATGGTGAATAGTAGTATTATGTCATACTAGATAAATTATAGTTTTTTCTATTTTAATAAGAGATTTACAAAGTTAAATATGTTCAGGGCAGGAGCGATGGTACAGCAGATAGGGCATTTGCCTTGTATATAGCTGACCTGGGTTTGATCCTCGACACCCCATATGGCCCCCTAAGCATCGCTAGGTGTGTGTCTCCCGCCCCTCCACCTCAAAAATTGCAAGGACTTTTTGAAGACTCTTGAATAGAAACTCTATAAACATTTCTGTAAGTTATATGTGTTTAGCCTGCACTTGACAAAGAAGTTAAATATTTTCACTGACAGGTATACACCTATTTGTCATAGTAAAATTTTAGTTCAAAAAAAATTTTAGTTCAAAGGTTGAATTCTGGATAATAATCTTTTGCACACATTTTGGGAGAATTCAGAAAATTCAGACACCAGACATATGTGACAAGTAAAAGTGGAAAAGACCAGAAAGCACTATCAGATATACAGATGGTACAGATTAAAGCAAAGTGTAATATCTTAGTTCCAAATGTAGGGAATAAATCTAAATTGAATTTAGCAACAAAAATTTGGTGCCATAAAGTAAAAATAAGGGTACTTGGAGATGATAAAGAGGAATAGTTAAATTGAAATGAGAAACAAAGAGAAAAGAAAACATTTTCTCTTTTTGTGGGAAACTAATTTGAATGCTCATTTTAAAAAAACATATAGTCAGGTCCGGAGCAATAGTACAGCAGGTACTAGTGCACTTGTCTTGTCCGCAGCTGACCTGAGTTGTGAGATCCAAAACCAAACACACACATACACACTCACCACATACACGCACACACACGCACGCACTCACTTAGTCAAGAACAAAGTTTTCCAGAGCAGGAGAATATTGAGAATCTTTTGTGTCATCTTGTGCTTTCAGTTGATGTGTGTGTGTGTGTGTGTGTGTGTGTGTGTGTGTGTGTCTCTAAGAGTGCCAATTACTGGGTCTTCAAATAATGCTTATGTGTAATATTCTGAGGAACTGTGAGGTTTTTTTATTTCCACTAGCAATATCTGAAAGTTCTTGTATCCCTGAGATGTAATATTGATCAAATATCACTATATCACTGTATCACAGTCATCCCGTTGTTCATTGATTTACTCGAGTGGGCGCCAGTAACATCTCCATTCGTTCCAGCCCTGGGGTTTTTTTATTTTTAATTTTTATTAGTGAAACACCATGAGGTACAGTTGTAGATTTACAATTTTTTGTGCTTGGGTTTCAGTTATACAATGATCGAGTATCCATCCCTCCACCAGTGCCCATTCTCCACCACCAATGATCCCACTATCCTTCCTACCCACCCCACCTCTGTGGCAGGGCATTCCCTTTTGTTCTCTCTCTCCTTGTGGTTTGCAAAAGAGGCATTGAGTGCCAGCCCTGAGATTTTAGCAGCCTCTCCTTACTCATCTTTCCCAACACTGCCATGTCGGAGGCTCTTTCAGGGTCAGGGGAATGAGACCCGTTATTGTTACCGTTTTTGGCATATCGAATATACCACGAAAACCAGTGTCTGGGGCTGGAGCGAGAGTATAAGGGGCAGGGTGCTGATGCAGGGTTGATCCCTAGCACCCATATGGTCCCCCAAGCCTGACAGGAGTGATTTCCCCGCCTCCCAGAAACCAAACAAAAAACAAACGCCAGCAAAGGGGGAAGGGTTCGAGCCCTCACACTGGTGGTGGAAAATTACTGACTGATCAAATAAAACCATCTAAAACTTATTTTGTATTCAAATTTCTCTTAATTTAAAAATCTGCCCATAGAAACAACTTTGAGATAATTTGCATACTATAAAGTTCACTCATTTAAAGTATGTAATGGATTTTAACATACCTGCAGAGTTGTATAGCTATCACCATAATCTAATTTGGGAACATTTTCATGATCCCAGTCTCTATAGCTTTCCAAAATACTTAAAGATTCAGTTGCAGTTAGCGCATTATGTTTGGTTGATGTGAACCTTTAGTCTAGAACTATTTGCCGCTTTTTTCCCTTGGTGTTGACAGTTTTGTAGCTTGTAGACCAGTTGCTTTTAGGATGCCCCACAATTTGAATCCTTTTGATTATTTCACATGATTAAATTCAAGTAAAATGCTTTGACTAGGAAAGAAGCTAATTCCTAATGTAGTAGACAAAAGAAAGACATTCAAGATTTTTAATGAAATTACACCATCAGAACTAGACTCTAGAAAAATTGGGGGACACTCTGATAATGATGCAAGGAAGCAGACACTGGTGGAGAGTGGGTTGTTGGAACATTGTATGCATGAAACCCTATTGTGAACGGTGTTCTAAATCACGGTGCCTCAAACAAAATTTTTTTAGAAATAGAAATGTTTAAATAAGGAATGTCTGTCAAGGGAAGCTAAAACAAATCTAAATACAGAAGGGAATCAGATACTTGAGGACATAGTTACTGTCGGCCAGTTAGCAAAGAAGGAAAGAAAAACTGAAAATCTTTAGTACATTTTTTGAGAAAGAAAATACCATATTTATTTTCAAGTCTGCCTGATTTATTAACATTAGTTTATTAACATAAAACTATCAGAAACTGTTGTTGAATTATCAGAGTACAACTCTGGATCCTTTAGAATTTTGCACCTTTTTTTTCCCCAGTGTTTGAATGTGTTGAATAGTGTGTTTGTGTGATTTTATTAGAACCTGAGTTCTTTATATTAGTGTAATTAAATTCTTTTGTGCTCTTCCTTTTATTTCTTTTCTATTTGTTCATAGTGTTCTACGGAAACGTATTCGAGAGGACAGAAAAGCTAACACAGCCCAGAAAGTGCAGCAGATGAAACAGAGGCTAAATGAGACTGAACGAAAAAGAAAAAGGTGGTTATATTGGCAACCTATTTTTACTAAGATAGGGTTTGTGTCATTCGTTTTGGTTGGCGCTTTTGTCGGCTGGATGCTGTTCTCTCGGCAAAATACCTTACAAATAAGCAATTAATTTTGCTTAACAAGCTTCCACACTGGTAGCTGGTAGTGTTGCGTTTATCACAAGGGTTTGTCTTGTTAACAGACTCCTCATCCCCCAAAGGGCACAGTAGCATAGACACTAACCAGATAAGTGTTAAATTCCGTCCCTGCCCACCATCTCAGGACGCTACCCCAAGACTGTAAATGGCTATCAAAAATAAAGACTTTAATGCTTGTTTAAAACTGGTACATTTTGTAGCTGTATTCATCATACATGTTAAGCATAATATTTTACCTGAGCAGATTGATAAATCCTTTATCACAAGGATTTGTTTTTGGAGGATATCTGGAAATGAACCTGCACTTGATATAAGCAATAAATATTGTGGTTTAATCTACATTATTACTGGAAAGAAAATTATCTTTAATGTGTGTAATGTATTATGTACTATTAACATGGGCATCAACATTTTATATTCTTTACCATTTCAGAGTATATTTTATAAATACCTATTTAATCTTTTGTAGTTAAATGTACTTTTTAAAAGCTCAATTTGAAAACTCTGTTACCATAAAATAATTGTATGTTGACTCCGTTGTAATGGAAACATTTTCCTATAGAGAAGTTTGATATGAGCAGATAGAACTTGGAATAAGTAATCTTTATTCTGTATTTGCATTTCTTTCATGTTTTACAGTTTTCCCAATTTTAAAAAGATAAAAAATTTTCCTAAAAATATGAAGGAAAATTTTTCCTTACTGGCATAGTTAGGTGGCAGTTATTTAAGTCTTTATAAAGATGTTCATTTATTTCTGTAAAGCCCATTATTAATATTGTTTATTTTTCATGAAAATCTCAATGTACTCACCCTAATTTACAACTGGGGTAAGTCATAATTTGGGAATTAATAAACAGCATTTTACGATCCATGATTTCAGTTTACTAGGCTGAAGTTTTGAAGTAAAAAATTTTTCAAGTTCTTTCTACTTCAATAAATAGTATGATGACATACAACCTTACATTGTCCCTTAACTTTTTATGGGTACTTGAAAATTTACTGATTTTAACTGCTTGTTTGAGTGCTAGCTTTCTTCATATCTCAACATTCCATCTGGTGTTAACTTGCTTGACTTAAACTTCAAATAGTTGTCAGAACTTTTAATTGCGGGAATAATTAAATCATATTATTTTGGTGGTTTCCAAACTACTATGCTTGCATTTTTAAGAGGTCACCAAGAGGTGGATGGAAGAACTCCAAGCTACCAATTTTTATTTTATTTTCACCCAGACCATCTCTTATCTGTTTCATACACTACGTAAGATTCTTACATAAGTCTTTATTATTTTAAGGGAGCAGTTACTTTTAAAACAGTTTGAAACCATTGGTATATTTTTAGTTGATGTGAGTAGCCTTCTTGAATGTAGGTGATACTACTTATTAAATGATTTTTATAACTTGTGCCTGTGTCCTAATTTAGTATTATTGTCTCCTGTTACCTTTAATTGGAGAGGAGGTAAGAGAGACATTTCCTTATGTCTTGTCTGCGTTAAACCTTTGTATAGGCACCAAGACCCTTCCAATCATTGTTTAAAGTCTTCTTTCCGGGCCAAGGATGTGGCTCAATGGTAGAGCATCTGCCTTGCATGTGTGAGGCCCTGGAGTTGATTCCCGGTACCCACTCCTACCAAAAAAAAAGAAAAGAAGAAGAAGAAGAAATAATCTTTCTTTCCAGTTTACCCTGGCTTATCTTTGCTAAAATACACTTTGTTACTCCATAAGTCAAGTGTGCCTAGGACATACTAAATTTCAATTGAAGATAACCTTCCTTTAAACGAAAAGGTAAAGACTTCTTCCAGAAAACATGCTGCTAATGGTACACATTACCATTTGTGAGGTAAATATGCTTTTTGTTGTTTTGGGGACCATGTCCAGCAGTGTTCGCAGCTCCTTCCAGCTCTGTTTCTGGGGTCACTTCGTGCAGTGCCAGGGATCAAACCCAGGCCTGTTGCATGCAGAGCATGCTTTGCATGCACTCAGCCCATTGAGCTGTCTCACTGGCCCTAAATTCCATTAATTTAATTTTTTAGCTTTGTCATTTGTCTCCTTTTTGAAATTCTGGGGTAGTATTATAATTGGGGGCAGGGGGTGAGAGTGTTGGTTTTTTGAGGCCATATCAGGTGGTGCTTAGGACTGCTTTCATCTCACTGCTCAGGAATAAGGGGGTACCTGGGGTCAGACGTTGGCTCCATGCATTCAGGGCCTGTGCTCCAGTCCATTGAGCTACGTCTCCAACCCCTATAAACAAATTTTATATGTGTATTACATATGTATGTACTTTTTAATATTTTATTTCAACTAATTTACAAAAGCAAGTGATTTTATTTTTTCCAAATAGTGTACCCTCCACTGTCCAGGTGAAGGAAGGTGTAATAGAGGAGAGAGATTCAGGGGAATAAGCCCCAGATACATTTTTAAAGTCTGGTGCAGTGTGCAGTTCCTGATGATGTACTTCCACAAGGGTTCATTGTCTTTCCTCCTCCACACAAATACTTGAAGATTTTTGGTTTTGTTTTAACTCTGATGGGTTCCATGTACTAATTACTGAAAATACAAGGCAATTTGCTGTGGTGCCCATGGTTGTTACCCCAGCCTTAGGAATTGAAGAGTGGCATTCTCAGAAAGGGAATCAAACAGCGACCAGCTCCAAAGTTAGCAATCCTTGATGGATTCTGCATCTTTTTTAAGTCCATCTCCAAGGGTCATGGGGGGCCATGTGCTGTGAGAATTGAACCTGGAGGTCAACTGCTTGCAAGGCAAGTGCCCTACCTGCTATACTCTTGCTCCAGCCCTCAGACCTTAAGAGGGAATGTTTGCATTAATTTCTGATTGATTCATGTTCATGGCTTTCCATGCTAATTGATAGCAGCCTTTGGTTTAACACCATGTTCTCTGACTACCAATTAGTTGTATATTTTTTCTATCTGAATTTAACTGGGCATTTTATGCTAGACTTTCACTGATTTTTATCTATGCCCATACACATGAGATATAAAAATGCAATTCTCCAGTTTACTTTATCCTTACAATAAAATACCCCTCATCTGCATTCTTAGCAGGTTAAATACATGGCTAAATATGCACAGAGAACTTAAGGTGGTATCAGACCATTTGGGGTTTTAAGGATATTTATTATTTATATTTATTTTTATATTTATATTTATTTATATTTTATATTTACTTATATTCGTATATTATTTATATTTATTACTTATTTATTTTTAGTTATATTTATAACTAATCATTTTTTTCTAGTTTATTGGACACTAATATTTTTACCAAGGAATAAGCAAGAAAAGAGGAAAGGGAGTGAAAAAAAAACTGTTTGATCTTTGTGTTTTGGTTTGGTCATTTTGTTGTTTTGGAGCCATACCCAGCAATACTCGGGGCTACTCCAGGTTCTGCTCCAGGTTGGTTCCCTTGAGTGCTTGCTCAAGGGACCGTTGCAGTACAGGGGACTGAACCCGGGCCTCCACGTTCAAAACTTGATGGCCAGACTGTTGAGCCATCTCTTTGCCCCACAAACACACCTCTTTTTGAAATAGCTTTGCATAACAGGGATGTCAGAGGAAGAAGCTGTGACTAGTAATTTTATTTACACTTGTTCCCCACTCATCTTAAATTAACGATAACTGATGGTATGGAACCAAAAGTACATACTAATTTAAAAAGTAGTTTGTGCTCTATAACAATTCTTCAGCTTTTGCATTCCTTCTTTGCTTGCAGCATCAATTCAGAGTGATGGTGGCTCCCATTTATTGATCAGTTACTATGTGCCAGGCACAGTGCTAAGCACTTTTCATATATTACTCTATTTAATCCTCACAACAAGCTTTTGAGGTAGGTGGTATTATTTTTAAGCCATAACAAGCCAGAAACTTGACATTTCTATATCCTTTTGTGATACAATCATGAAAAAGTCTCATGGGTATTATATTTTAGAAATAAGAATTTCTCACAGAATGACTTCTCATCTCCTCTGGAGTGACAAGTCATTTCCCTCCTAGAAAAATACTTATGAACTGGATTCTTATATACAGACATGAATCAGCACCTGTATAATTAGAAATGCTTAAACTATCATACTCTTGTTTTAATGAGTGTCTACATTTCCAAAGTGCCTGCTTGGTTATTTTACAGATGAAAATATTAGTTCATTTTGAGTTTTATTTTCAGTTAGAGCTTTTAGAGTGCTGGGGGTTGGCAGGGTTTAATAATATCTCTCAGGTGGTTCCCTTAAAAATATGGTTTGTTCTTTTCTTATCTCCAGGCATGGGTCAAGGAACCACACCTCTGTAAACTTTGGAACACTTTTCCTCCAGTGGGTTCATGTGGGTTAGTTCGTGAGGAAGAAACTATAGAGCAGGGGTATTTCTTGGTTGTTCATGGGCAGCAAGGTGATGGGGAAGTTAGAGCTTGCTGTGTTCTTCTCCGTCTGGCAGTACCACATAGCCAGTGTGTCCATGGGTGTTCTCATTTACACACCAACAACTAAACAAGTTTCTTAGATACTTTTGTGTATGCATGCCACACAGGTGGTGTTCAGGGGCTACTTCAGGCTCAGTGCTTGGGGGTCACTCCTGAATAGTTCTGGGGATTAAACCCAGTTCCCCACCCCCCAACCCCACCCCGCAGAAGCATTTGCCCTGCCCCTTGAGCTCTCCACCCAGTCTCTCTAAGAAACCTTTATCTGGCATTGAAATTGTAGCACAAAATTTGGAAAACAGAAATACAGTATTCTTCAGATAATAAAATTTAAATTCTTCTGGTTCAAAATACAGGTTTTGGGGATGCTATGGGATTTGTTTTAAAATTGATCTGTTTCTTTGATCTCCTTTATTCAGTTCATTTGTTTCGATTTGATTCCCTTTGTCCTTATTCCTGTCCACAAAGGAATAAGAGACTGTTACGGGACATCAGCACTAACACCTAGTAGATATTAGCCATTGCAGCTACCTTCTTGTTCCATTAGGATGTGTGGCGTCATGCCAAATTGGAAAGACACTTGGGTCATGTAAACTAAATATCTCTTCAGCCTTCCTCTATCCAGATACTGCACGTTTTCTGGCTGTATTCCCTCAATTCAGATACTGCACACTTTCTGGCTATATTCCACGTACCTAATAATCATCATGTAGCCATCTCATCTTTGAATTTGGTTATTTTAAACTACCTGCTTTTAGGACCAGAGAGATAGTACAGAGAGCAGGGTGCTTGCCTTGCATATGGCCAACCTGGCTTTGATTTCTGGCACCCCATATGGTCCCCCAAGCCTTGCCAGGAGCAGACCCTGATCATAGAGTCAGGAAAAGCCCTGAGTCAGGTGTGGCCAAAAAACATATAAATTAGAGAATGAAAATATAAATTGCTGTGTCAGGTGATATTCTAAGGAGAAATTTGGAGGAAAATGGTATGAGTTTGTTATTCCTTCAGCATTTGGAATGTTCTTGGTATTCACATTTAGATTGCTCCATGAATAGTATTGAGTAATCTGTGCTAGCACTTTCTCTCAGTCTCAGTCACAGAAACCTTTCACTCCATTGGCTACTGAATTCTGGAAACTTTTTTCAACTGCTGATCGTTTTCCTCAAGTTCTCTGCTGTGTACTTCATCACGGAGCATTGCCTTAGATAAGCAGTGACGCATAGAAGCTCCTTTTACTTGGTTTAAAAGGTTTTGTGTTTATTGGTAGCAACCTGATAATGAAAAGATTTCACCCAAATAGTCCTTAGGAGTGCCAGGGATTCTAAGCCACGTGGACCTGTGATGCAGTGGTAGGGGTCACCCAACCACCTTTACCGTGCTTGGGGGCCTTCAGGTAATATTTGGGGGACTATGTAGTGTCATGAATAAAATTTATTCTATTATGCAAGCTGGTCCCTGTACTATGTCTACGGCCCCCAAAAGTAAAAAGATTGCTAAGAATTACAGGATGAAAGTTCAGCTTTTTGAATTGTTTTGGTTTTACAATTGAGACAGGAATGTGGTCATTACAAAATTTAGTCTTTCTCAAGACTGCTTTTATTACTATGCTTTTCCAGGGTTTTTTAGAGAACATTTTTTAAAGAGAAATGTCAATCTTGTTAGTCTAATGTCGCATCAGTTTTGGACACATATTGCTATTGGATGTTTCAAATTTCTAGTATAAGGAGTTTTTTACTTGAGTTGTATGAATTCAGGAGAAGTAGATAAGTTGGGTTTTGTCTATAATAATGCTTGTCTTGCTTTAGAGAAATTTATATGATTCTTTGCAATAAAGTTTGAGTGTCTTGGACAAGACTCCTTTGGGTGCTGTTTGACTTGCTGTTACTTCAGAGGCTGAACTGTTCAGGAGATTTTGCTCTGCCTTTAAACGGTCCTGATACCTTTCTTGTGGGCTGTGTTTATTCCATTGATTTCCA